AATCAGAGCCCAGACCGTTCAAGTGTGAAGACACCCCAGCGATCATGCTGCCTAGACACCCCTCCGCCCAGGGTGGAGAAACGCTGTGTAGAGCGGTTAATGTCACTAGAAAGTCATTCCCTTCCTTCTGTTAATAGCAGCGAAGCCAGCGTCCTCAGCGGCACTGTACCTGAAAGACAAAGGCTCTAGAATCTCGCCAGGGCCCTGCATCTGTGGATGACAACTGTGTGTTGGAGCAAGCCCAGGAGGAGTCATGTTCGGTGCAATGCTGCAAATTAGCCTTCAGTACTGAGAATAAGCTTTTGTCCCAAAAGAAACAAGTGGATGCAGTAGAAGCCCGAGGAGGTTTGGAGGACATTGAGACCCCAGTGCCCTTGCCCTCTGCTTCTGCTACGGCTCTTCTCTCTCGTTTTGGGATGAGGAGACCCCTGAGTCAATCTCAGCTGAACGCAGGACCATCTCCTGGCACTGATTTCCCTACAGCAGCCCACGTATAAAATGAAAAACACCTGGGTTCATAGCTCTTTGTAGGCAATGGGTCTAAGTTGCTGCATTAGCTTTTACTAAATTCTCAAATGTGGTGGGAAATGCATACAGCATATCCTCGAGAAGAGAAGCAGTGAATAAAGCCACTGAAGCCATCATTTAAGAAACAGCGACAACTTCAATCTAAACGCCCCTGTCCCCTCTGCATCAGATGGAACTTCTTTATTAAGTATTTTGTTAGCAAAACAGTAACCCGACACAAAAAGCACTGAGTATAGATTGGAAGATCTGGAGACGAATGATCAGACGGCAAACCACCTTCTAAACACTGCCATGTCTAATAGGATGCTAGAGGCCAGGCGTCCAGCCCCACTTTTACAGTAGCCCACTCAGCCGGTGAGATTAGCATCTCAAACACACAGTCTGGCACATGCTCCAGCAGTTTTGTCCACCCACCAACAGGTGCACCTGACCCAGTTGGCTTCTTGGAGGAGGCACCTGAGTGACATCTTTAGTGACCAGTCAGACTGAGCCAGTTGAGAAGGAAGGGAAAGGGGAGTCCAGGTAGTAGGAACAGCGTATGCAAGGCCATAACATTGATACTGAGCCTGGGATTTTCCAAAAGCTGATGATAAGTACACGTGACAAGAAGGTGGCACAGGGGAAGGGCTGAGGGATGGGCAGCTGCAGCAGTAGGGCCCCAATGCCATGCTGAGACTCTGGACTCTAGCCCTGGGACTACAGCCAAAGATTTACGCTGTACGAAAAAGGTGCATTTAAGAAAGGCGGCAGAGTTTAGTGCAAACCAGGAGTAGCAAGCAAAGGGGGAGGCTGGGAGAAGGGAGAAGGTGCGGGCATGCACGGGCAGCACCGCTGGGCTTGTGTCACCAGCAGCTGGCCCCGGGGACAGGAGGCGGCCAAGGCCAAGGGAGGAGCTCAGAGCACCGCTGGGCGAAAGGAGCTGAGTTTCCCGTGAAGACGAGGGCAGGAAAGTTGTCACAAAGAGGCTGCGTTTGCAATTGGCAGTGCGGGGGACAGGACTTTGGTAAAATTGGGAAGGGGTGGCACAGGAGACCAGAATCGCAGGAGAAGAGTGTGAGCCACAGGGGGTGGGCGGGAAAGCCAGATGGGACCAGTGCAGGAGACCAGGGAGGAGAGAGGAGTCGGTGGCACAGAGAGCGAGAGCTTGAGGAACGGCTGTGACAGACAGGCTCTAGCTGGCTCAGCACAGAGCCTGGCCTGCAAAGACATGCAAAAGTCTAAAGATGGAACGGTGTGTGTGAGACAGAGAGAGAAAGAGGAGGAGGAGGAGGAGGAGAGTATGAAGACAAGGAGCATAAGTCCACAGTTTCATCAAATTAATATCCCCCTGACTGTCTAAAAATTATTTATTAGCTGACAAGAAGGCAACTATTATTGTGCCTTAAAATATTTGAAACACGGACTTGGGGGGGGGGACTAAGGGCAACACACGTAACCTAAACATCTGTACCCCCATAATATGCTGAAATAAAAGAAAAAAAAAATCTGTGCACCTAAAATTTCCTTTCCAGATAAACTGGCTAAGCAGAGAGGCTGTGGAAAAGTCTGCCTACCTCCTCCTGCTCCGATCTCCTGGGAAGGGACGCCCAAACCAACACTTCCCCTCGGGGCACCCACGCAAACACGTATCAGATCCTGGAATCATTCACGGATGGGGCGCTCCCTGCAGCCAGGCCTCGACCGCCCCGCACCGCCGCAGCCTCCCTGCGCAACGCGCCTTTGCTGCGGCCCGTCGCATCCGCGTTCCCGCAGGGCCGGCCTTGGCTTGGGCGCCGGACGGCCACCTTCGCCCCACTCAGGGACGCGCCTTCTGCCTCCTGGCGACTTCCGCCCCACTGCCTCCCAGACCTGACTGGGGAAGGCTCTCCGGCGACAACCGGCGGCACGCGCCCTCCTGCCGAGTCTCCTGCCAGGGGCCAGCGCGGACCCCAGGCGGCCCGGCTCTGCGCGTCGCGTGTGCGCACCGGGGACAGGCTCTGCGCCGAGAGCGGCAGCCTGGCGGCTCCGCCTGTGGTCGCGCAGCCCCGACCCTCCCGAAGGAGCGGCCCGGGCGGAGGAAGGGACTGGGCCTGTCCGCGGGAACCTCCGGTTTGATCAGAGAGCTGCTTCGTCGCCTGAGTAAGGAACTGCTCATCCAGCACCTTCCACGTTCCGGACGCTGCTCTCGACGCCGAGTGTAAAGCGGAAACGAAACAGAGAAATCCTCCCCCACAGCTTACGTTCCCGCGATCGGTGAGGAGAGACCTTCGCCACACGTGAGTTGTAAAAGGCCAAACCAATGGCACGAGGGAAGGACAGAGTGATGTGGCACTTAGGAGGAAGGAGAAAGATACTTCTTCCTAGAATGACGGAGCCTTCACGAAGAAAGAGGCGTAGAAACGTTCTGTAAAGCCTCAAATGGGCCTTTCTAGGTCCAAGTACCTATTACGCACAGTGCCGGTCACAGGGTATTCGAAATTCTCGAAAAACACCGTGCTCTGCCTCGCGTTCAGTGGCTGTTCTCATGCTGTTCCCGCAGAGTGGTTAAAGGGACACGCGGCCATGGGGGCAGACCCTGCAGGTCCCGGGGCAGCCGGGCGGGGGGCTCGAGGGCGTGTGAAGACTCTCCCGCCGTCAGGCCCGCCGTCGACTCCGGGCAGTGTCCGCTCCCAGCCTGGCAGAGCGCACACGCGCGCTTCAGACACACACGCGTGGTCGCCTTTTCTCCCTCGGGCTGACACTGACCCTGACTCACTGACAGCCAAACGAGCCCCCTCTGCCTGTGCCAGGCCGTACTCCCCTCGCACGTGGGGCTCCCCCCGCCCCGCGTGCACAGCAGGTGACAAAAATCACTGTCCCTCCGGACGGCCTCTGACTTTAGGAGAGCCAGGAGCAAGCTAGTTAGGGAATGGGCTTAAAAATGAAGGTTCTTCCCCAAAGCATGACAAAGGCACCACAAATGACAAGTGTAATAAACGCGTTGAACATCTCTGAGTCATTTTTAAAATGTGTGAAAACAAAAAACAAAAATTTCTGCTTCTGGATCAGATGTGGTGGCTCATACCTGTAATCCCAGCACTTTGGAAGACCAAGGCAGGAGGATTGCTTAGGGCCAGGACCAGCCTGGGCAACACAGCAAGACCCTATCTCTACAAAATATTTTTTAAAAATAAAATTGGCCAGGCTTGGGGGCACATGCCTATAGTCCCAGCTACTGAGGAGGCTGAGGCAGGAGGATCGCTTGAGCCCAGTAGTTGGAGGTTGCAGTGAGCCACAATGATGCCACTGCACTCTAGCCTGGGCAACAGAGGGAGATCTTGTCTCTTAAAAAAAAAAAAACATAATAAAACAAACAAACAAAAAAAAAACCTTTGCTTCCTTCGGGCCATCACTTGAGAAATTATAGAATTAGGATTCCTTTTGGTTAAAATGGACCTAGAAAGATTGAGTCTGACCTCTTTCCAATCCAGGGAGGCCCCTCCACTGCAACATCCTGGTCAGACAAGCATGAAGTTCCTATAGAAATATCTCCATCAACAGAGAGCTTCCTCCAAGCTGGGCAACCTGCTCATTAGATAGTCAGGTGTCTAAAAAACTCTCCTTATGCTGGATTCAAATCTGTTTCATCATGTCCTCAACTCACTGGCCCTAGGACCAATTTGCCTAAGAAAGTACATCAATATGAATTTAAATATGGTTTCTTTGTAACTATAAATCCAATCATGAGGCAAAGCAACTTGAAGTAGGAAAAATATAAATTGATACTTAGAGAATGGAAGAGCAGGAATGAAAACCAAGAACAAAATGTTGTGAACAGATTTGGGAAAGGCAATCTTTGGGGTAACAATGGGTAGCTAAGGGTGAGTCTGAACTTTTGGCTGAGAGTTTTGGGAACCAGAGCAGCTGAGTGTATGCAGGTAAGGGATTCTGGCCAGGAGACGACAAGCAGCTGCAGGACCAGGTGGTCGGCAGAGGGGAATGCTCCTGGGGACGAAGAAGGACTGGTCTTGTCAAGTTGAGACCATCACTTATCTCTGGGCTTAAATGGGCTGGGCCTGGGGGAAGGGGTGAGGGTGGCTGGTTATTAAGTTTTATCCACCTTCTGTGTGATTAAAATGAGTCCGTACGCTTTAGCTGTCTTTCTATAGCTATGTCTGGGAAATGCTCACATACTCTCTATAAATGTGAGGATGTCACACACAACAAACAGAGAAATCAGGCCCAGGAACGCAGTGCAAGAAAGGGAGTCAACTGCTAAGACAGGTAACACCTTCATCCTCAGGTACACACCCATCTGAAAAAGCTTATTTAAGATGAATATGTTAAGTTTTTGATAAAAAAAAAAAAATCCATCTCACGTGTAACTAAATTGGAATAGTACCATTTTTTTAAAGAGTAAATATCTAAAACTCTTGGGTTTTTGTTTGTTTACTGCTATTGCAACTGACCTCCATGCGGTATTGCAAACACATTCTGAAATCATCAATATTTACCTTTTATTCTGTTAGTTGAAACTCAAAAGAGAATTCACCACGTCTTCATGGGAAACAACTGATCTCCAGTGTAGATAGAATCTAGGGGAAAAAAGAGTTTTTAAAAGTTATAGGATTTAACTTCCAAAGCTGAGCAATACACACATATGTGAGATGGAATGAATTGGTCTACACGTAACCTGTGAGAATACTGGACAACCTCCTACTTTATCAATAGTCCTCGTTCCCATATGACCTAGAAGAGTAGAACTTGAAATCAACACAGTTTCTATAATTCTCTAGTTTTTTTTTACTTGGTCATTTATTTTTCACTTTTTTTAGGAGACGGGGTCTGGCTCTGTCACCCAGGCTGAGTGCAGTGGCAGGATCACTGCAGCCTGGAACTCCTGGCCACGGTGCCGGCTTCACCTGATCATTTAAATCATAATTAAAGTTGCCTTAATTGAATCCACTTTAACCCAGCCTTGCCATTACCCGCTGCACACAGCCAAGTTACTCCCAGTTTCAGCAATGCACGTTTCCCCTTCTTGCCCAATAGCCACTCGCTACTGCAGCAAGCCACGTGAAACTCGCAGCGCAAACAGTTCGCCGACGTGTGCAGAGGCAGCGGTGACATCCACCACGCAATGAGATATCACCAAGTCGGAAGGGGAAAGTGACAATTACACTTCCTTTATCTGGGTAGGAGGCAGCAAAGCTAATTATAATGGCTGAACAAACTATTTTTCCCCAAGGGTGCACTGAAAATTTCCAAGATCCTGAATAAAAATGAAAAGTGCTCTCCTTTTTAACAATGCAGCACTAACTAATTCAGTCTGCGGATGCTTTATGGCTGTGAGCCCAGCTAAGCCCCCACTGTCTCCCCTCCGGGATGAGTGATGGCTTTGTTCTCCCAATGAGACCCCGGCTCTGGCCAGTGCCACGTCAGAAGCCAAAGGTCACTCCCAGGTGATCAAATGCCAGGTGTCGCATGGCAGGGGCAGCCACGCATCTGAAGATGCCATTCAGAACAACACCTGGATCGCTACCCTGTTCCTGGCCTCCTCTGTCATTTAACACCAGACTCTGCCAGAATCTCTATTTGCCCTGCTTGGCAGCAGCCACAGTGCACATTCTTGCAATTTTCCTTTGTTCTTCTTCTTGCTTCACTTAGCTGGGCGCTTTGCCTTAGTTTTCCTCCTATTTGTAGCAGTGACAAAAGGCATTTAAGAACTAAAATGCACAAAACTGTGCTACACATGCGAGACACTCTTTTAAAAAAATTGTCTGCTTACAAAGATGTCTAGGGTGACGTGGCCAAAAAACCCCCAAAGCTCTCAAGTAAGGAGATGCTCAGTTGCCCAGTGGTCAGGATATATTTAAGTATGTTAAAACATATTTACTCAATGGCCTATCAGCCATTAAAAAAGATAAATGTGTAACAGAGAAAGATATTAATGTTACAATATATATGCAAACACTTGTGAGATCACACTAGTGAAAAAGAGCAGAATTTGAAATCGCACCAAAGTGCTGATTACAATTTTACCAAAAGCATCATTACATACGGCTGAAGCTACATGAAGCTACTGAAATTATAAAACATATATATATATAGTGCAAATAAACTAAAGAGGGAGTTGGTCGATGTCTGCTAAATTCTTGGAATCTGGGAAAACAGAATGATATAGCTCTTGCCAGGCTTAAAAATATCCAACACTTTAGAATCACAGAATGTTATGACTAGAATGGACATTAGCTCAACCTTTCCACTTCACAGATAAGTAAATTTATGCCAAAAGGAAGGGATTGCTCTGGAATCATCCTGCTACTCACTGGCAGAACTGAGACCAGAACTGTGGTCTCCCTACTCAGGAGTCTCTTTTTTATAGCGCACACTGCAATTCGTTCATACAAATAAATGAGGGGTGCACATTATCTGAGCATTCAGTATCCAAATCCCCCAGGGAACGCCTTTAAAACACTCAACTATCTCCTAATAACCAACCATGTTACTACTTGAGTCCCTACTCAAAAATCCATCCTCGTTCAAAGTCGGTGTCTATGCCTGATTCTCTTTGTGAGTGTCTTGTACCTTTCACAAAATCATGTACATCTACTGCAAAGCAAAATTGCAAATTTTGCCCTCAAATACAAAATTTTATGAAGTTAATCAAAATGACATTTAAGATTTTACCCAATAACAGGTCAAACAACGGCAAGTGGGGACTGAGTGATTTGATTAGGAAACCATCATTTAAAAGAAATGTTAAAAGTTGGTGACAAGATAGGGATTTCAAAAATGATTTTAGCATTAAAGAATCTAAAAGGAAATCAAAGGAAAATGACCAAGACCTGTAATACTTTTTAAACACTGGTTATCTGTATGATGTGATATAAATGTCAAATGTGATATTAAAAGTACTATAATGCAGAATCATCTAATTTTGTCCTAAAAAGTTACTCTTCCCAAAACAATCAACACTTGATTTTTGTATTGTTCATTCTAAGAGCCAGCCATGGTCACAACAATTACCTAAATTTTTCTAAATATAACCTAAAATAAACTCATTTTCATAATTTTTAGTGTATTTTTTCAAGATAAAGTCCCCAAGCTTTTTTTCCCCATTATATTAATATTATGCAATTTTTGTCCCCATTTAGGTGGATTTACTTTAAATGGCCTTTTTCTGGTTCTAATTATCCTCGGATAATAAGGACCTGCTGTAGAATCTTCAGAAAGAATTTTTTAAAGTATAAATCAGTACTCTGGGGGTATTTATATCATTTTGAGCCAAGCATACATTTTAGAAACAGGAACTTCAGATCCAGAATATGCAATACTAGGGGACTGTATTTTGTCCCTCTGTTATCAAAAATAATGCATTTTATATTTTAGTTTATACAGAATAAAAACAAAGGTTACAAAATCACAAATGACTGTGTTTGTCTCAACCCTTTTAAAAAATGTAAAAGTATAATAATGCATTTATCACCCTGAATTACATAATTAAGTTTCCAGGTTTAATATCCTATTTTACGTGAACCATGGGAAAGCCTTCCTGTGGTTGTTAATAGTTGCTGATTTGCATATTGTGATAAGTTCCATCATGCAATTATCTGTCGTTCTGTACTTCACCTGAGAACAATGAAGCTGGCTCAGTTTTCCTATGTTCGAAATATTTCTTACAGGAAAGTAGTTAATATCCAGCGTTGTCTCACGTCCATTTAGATAATGAAAGCTATTCCAGTATCATAAAAATATGCGGCTTCATTTTAGAAGCATCAATTATTCAGTGGAACATTTTCTTCTAGAAGAATAAGGAGAGTAAAAGAATATTTTTTCCCATTAAATAAAACTGCAGTGTTCCACGGTAGAAAGGTATTTTTTCTTTTACTTTTCAATCTGTAACAGTGTTAAGAGTCTAAGTGACCAGTGATGAACCATTTAAAGTATGCGAGCTAATAAATAACTTTTAGAGGTTCATTTATTGGAAACTTTCCAGTTTCTGTGCCCAAAATAATAAATAATGTATGATTCAGTGTGTTTACTAATCCTGTCTCCAAGGTCAAGACCAAGATTACTGACTCAGTCTTTCTGCCAAATTTGCTTATCTCTCAAATAAATGTAAATTTATGGTTCAGGATTATGATATGACTAATAGTTCCTTCCAGATTTCCAGGATAACAAAGGCCTAGCTAGCCCTGGTCACCAGAGGCTCAACAGCAAAGATTACGGACTACCTGCCATGCCCTACGGTAGGCAGACACTTGAATTACCTCACCACTGTCTAAGAGCAAGAAGAAAAATAAGCTCAAAATCACCCTTTCAAATATTCGAGACTCACGCTACGTAGAACAGAGGAGCTGCTCTGCCCTGGTCCCCTTCCCGGATGAAATTTGCAAGCATGGGGAAGGGGTTGGCCATAAGCAACTGGAGACGCGAGGACGGCTACCACGCACCCTGGTGAAGAACCTCAGCTGTTTCACAATCAGGACCTTTCCATGCCAGGAAACGTCATCAAACCATAGGAAACAAAGAATCATGAATTTGACTCTGTATTTTTGGCAAACTGACACAACATTAAAACTGTCTTTAAAAGGAAATGCATCACTAGACCGGCTATCAACCATAAGAGAGGACGTGATTACCATATAAAGCAGAGAACATTCCACCCAGGTATGAGCAGGTGGGCTCAGGAATCCAAGACATTCAGCTACTTCCTAATTCGGGGGAGTTTTGTAACCAAATCTCTTTACCCTCCTGTAAAATGGGTATAGGAACAAACTCATAATATTCTAAAAAGCCTTAAATGAGATAATCGGCGTCAAGTATGCAGCACAGTGCTTGGCATACACAAGATGTTCAGGTTTCTATTATTATTATTATTTTTCCTGCATCACACAGAATGGGATAACTTCTACTTTTTCTGAACCTTAAGGGGGGCTACTTTAGACGTTTGCTCTAATTAGAGCTGATCCTTTCCACCTTAAAGTGTGACTAGGAATTTATTTGTATTACTGTGGAAATATAGAAAAAGTAATACTCCAGAATGCAGCATTCCAAAATTCTCTTTCCTAACAACTATTCCAGAATAGATACAACCCCTGGGGTTTTTGTTTAATGGTCACTAACACCGATGCAGCCCTTATGAAGTGCGCTGAACGCTAAGCATTTTCTACGCCAAGACTCCTTTAATCCCCATCATAGTCCTGTGAGGTGAGAACTGTCCTCGTTCCCATTTTCCAGATCAGGAAACTGAGGCACAGAAAAGCTCAGCAACTTGAGCAGGTGTCAGAGCCAAGTTACGATTCCAACCTGGCAGGGCGGCCCCGGGGTCCGTATTCTCAAGCAGGACACCAAAGCACCTGTGTTCCATGTAGGTATTTGGGGGCTGGGAGAGCCAGGGAACGGCAGGGAGGGAGGAGGAAGGAGATTCTCTCCCTGTCCCGCAACACACATGCGCATACACAGCAAAGATTTCAGTCGAGAAGACATCACCAAACACATCCTCATTGGCTGCTTCTTCAAATAAAAATTTTCAGTTCCTTACTGAAAGGGTAGTATCTTCCTACAGAAACTGGGAGAAG